CTTGCGGGCCGAAGGCGGACGTTTCTGCTCACCCGGTGCGTGGTGTGCTTCCTGCGGGGTATCAGACTGAAGCTGGTAACCCTCTCCATGCAGCGGTAGCGACGGTTCCAGTATTGCAGCGGTCTATGTCAGCTTTTTGAGCCCTTCTTACGAGCCTAGAGCTGGAGCCCATGCATATGGCGTCCAGTCGGCTCGGCGGCCCGGCCCCGCCCCCTTGTTTCTAGATTTTAATTGCAGGCTGCAATTATTTTTGTAGTGTAAAATTTTGTCTGGAGTGTAGGGGCCACCAGTTGAACCTCATTGTAAGCATACATACAGAATGGGCACCTAACAGACAATTTTTTTTTCTACAATGTAAAAAACTGCAAATTTGTTTTAATTGCATATTAGTTTGTCTCCTCGTAGTATATTTAATGGTTTTATTGGAAGTTATGCTACATTCTGTGTGCCACAGGCTTATGAATTTTAGTATAAAGTTGCATTTTTCAACAATTACAAATGCAAACATTTTGAGAAATATAAAATATTTATATTATTTCTAAACTTATATGAAATGTAAATATAAATCATAAATTGTCCTGATGAAACTCCTGTGGTAGGACTAAAACTCTAAAGTCTGTTACTTTTATTTTGGATACAATTGCTATGACCTGTGAAGATTCACACGGGCCTTTCTAATTTATTTACTTTTTTGGGGCTGAATATTACACCAAGGCAAAATATTCCAAGCATGAGTAGGTGGCTCCTGACAAGTTTACAAATAATTCATAGATTTGAAAAGCATAGGTGGAGTGCAATTGCATCTTGGCTATACCAATCCATTCCAGTGTTGGGCTGAGAACTCTCAGCTAACACTCTAACCAATTGCTGGCCTGTACTTAGCCTGAACATCAGAGAGAATCTGGGCATCCAGGTACTCTCATGCAAAGCCAAACCAACAGTTTAACATGGAACAGTGGGACTGTGCTAGGCAGCATATATCACCCTAACAACTTCAGTTAGAGGAATGCTTATGGTACTATATAGGGTCAGTTTAATCTGGGTAAGACATTTGATTGATTACAAAGTTTCTAGACATAGTGATTTACTTGTTCATTTAAAATGCAGGATACCTTATTATTATTATTATTATTATTATTATTATTATTATTTTATTATTTATATCGCGCCAACAAATTCATGATAACTTATGAGAATAAACCACAAAATATCCATAGGATGGAGGCAAAATTCACTTTAGATGCACCATAAGCAGTGTCATTAAATTGACAAAAGTACAATATTAGCTTCTGAAACAAGAGAAAAATATTATTTAAAAATGTGCATCTACTGTCAAGGAGCCAAAGTGACCCAACAAGCATGACTTAATTATTATTATTATGATATTTATATAGCGCCATCAAATTCCACAGCACTTTACAATGGGTGGACGAACAGACATGTAGTTGTAACCAGACAAGTTGGACACACAGGAACAGAGGGGTTGAGGGCCCTGCTCAATGCGATTACATGCTAGAGGGAGTGGGGTAAAATGACACAAAAAGGTAAGGATAGTATTAGACTAGTGACAGTTGCAGAAGAGGAATCAGCCAGGAGCTATTAACAGTTTAATTGATACGCTTTTATGAAGAAGTGGGTTTTTAACGATTTTTTGAAGGAGTGGAGACTGGGTGAGCATCTAATGGAGGAGGGAAGTGAGTTCCACAGGAACTGTGCAGCCCTCGAGAATCTTGAAGGTGAGCATCAGAGGTGGGAGTACGGACAGAAGATAGACGTAAGTCTTCAGCAGATCATAAGGGTCTAGATGGGACATACTTGTGTATAAGGGAGGATAGATAGGTGGGAACAGCATTATGTAGAGATTTGAAAGCAAGAACCAGAATTTTAAATTGAGCTCTATATTTTATAGGAAGCCAATGTAGGGACTGACAGAAGGGTGAGGCATGGGAGGTGCGGGCGGACAGGAAGATGAGCCTCGCTGCCACATTCATTATAGACTGTAACGGCGCAAGTTGGGAGCACATAAGACGACTGAGAAGCGTATTACAGTAGTCAAGGCAAGAAAGGACAGCGGAATGGACCAACACCTTAGTCGCATCTGGCGTTAAGTAGGGGTGGATGCGCGCAATGTTTGGCGATAGATTGAACATGAGGCTTGAAGGAGAGGTCGGAGTCAAAGATAACACCTATGCAGCAGGCCTGTGTGGTGGAGCTGATGGTAGCACCGTTGACTTGGAGGGAGACAGACACAGGAGTAACAACACTTGAGGGAGGAAAGGCCAGAATTTCAGTTTTGTTCAAGTTTAGTTTAAGAAAGTGGGCAGCCATCCAGTTAGAAATAGCAGAAAGGCAGTCAGACACACTAGTCAAGAGGGACGGGGAGAGATCAGGAGAGGACAGGTACATTTGGAAGCCAAAGGAGCTAATGAGTTTACCAAGGGAGGCAGTATAGATGGAGAACAGTAGGGGACCATGGACTGAACTTGGGGGACACCAACAGAGAGGAGTTGGGAGAGAAGAAGCAGAGAAAGAAACACTGAAAGAGCGCTGGGAGAGGTAGGAGGAGCAAAAGCTGCAGACAGGTCAAGGAGAATTAGGATAGAGTATGGGTTGCTAAATTGGACCATTGCATAAGGCCAAAGGAGGAGGTTACAGAGAGCAGACAAGAAGCTAATACTATCCTACCAGAATAGTAGACCTAGGATAGTTGTGTGTTATTATCCTTTAGAACAGCTAGGCTCAATACAGCTCCTAAAAAGAGGCATAAATGGCAAAACAGATATCCTGATTAAAGGTAAAAAAAAGCAAAGAATACCTAAATTGATGTATGCAGGGTCAATTGTGCCAGAGAATACCAGAGCAAACTAGGGCGAATACCAAAAAATTCAAAAAACAATTAGCCCACTATTGGAAATACCAGGAATCCACAACAGGGCCTGAACTTCTGAAGGGCCAGTCGCCACTTTAAAGAGTTAAAAAAAAAATAGAAATAAAGTGTCAATAGGACCCCATATTACAGTAAGCGAGGTTATACTAAAAAAAAAACTGAATGTATGGCAACAAGAGTATATATACCACCAAAACTCTGTCTGGTACCATGACTTATATAAGACATTTTGTGGTGTAGCTATCAAGGGAATGTCCCAGACCTATAAATAATGGAACTCTACATCTGTTCAGTCCCCTGTTGTGGTTTACTTTTAATACCAAGAACGCATACCTGATTTTCTATTATTTCCTGGTTATCTATCTTGGCTTGTGTGACTACTCTGATCTCTGTACTCCTTAACCTACCTTTGTGTTTTCTGGAATCCCAGACTTCGGCTTGCTATTCTTGACTCTTATATTTTGCCTGCTAAGGCATTATGCAAAGTCCAAGTAGATAAAAAACAAAGACGAATTCAGCGCCTGTAGAATAGTGTAACACAGGGGTTCCCAATTAATTATTCCTGTGGAACCCTTTGACATAGTGTACCAACATCACGGAACCCCTTAAAATATTAAAAGCCACAACACAAACCTTTTAATTAACAGAGCGTAATGTTTTCTTTTTTGGCAAATTTCTACAGATAGTAGACAGATTGTAGTACTTAAGAGCAGGTGTGCTTCTGTGTGTAGAGTTGGTGTTTGTATATAATTTTAGAATTTTTATACAGGGGTGTGTTTGTATGTTATGCTTGCATATACGTGCAGTGATGTGTTATGATGTAGTGTTGGATTTTAAATGCGGATGTACATTTTTATGTAGTATTGGTGTTTGAGTGAAGGGTGTGTTTGAGTTTTAGTATATAATTTAAGAGTTGGAGGTGTCTTTGTATGTCATGTTTGTATTTGCAGGGGTGTGATTGCATGTTGTGTTGGTGTTTGCTGGGATGTCTGCACATAAACACTTACAAATATATACAAACACATTAACAACAGAAATACACATAGAGACACAATGACACATACACACAGTCATATACACACTGACACACAGATACCCACACTTATAGATACACACACTGTCAGACACATTAACACACAGATAATGGCACAAAAAAACCCAAGCACGCACACACACACACACAGATAAAAACTGCCATACACACACAGATACACACACTGATACGCACACTGACACACATATACACACAGATACACACACTGACAGGTGCACACACTGGCACATACAAACACAGATATCTGTGTGAATCTGTGTGTCAGTGTGTATCTGGCAGTGTGTATATGTGTGTGTATGTGCCAGTGTGTGCCTGTCAGTGTGTATGTGCCAGTGTGTGCATCTGAGTTTCAATGTGTGTATATGTGTGTATGTGCTAGTATGTATCTGTGTGTCACTGTATCTATTAGTGTGTGTATGTGAGTATCTATAGGAAGTTACACGCTGTTAGTTCCTCCCAGCATCCCATACTACAGGGGCTCAGTCGCCCCTGTTCAGCAATACTGATTGGGTGGCCCTAAGTGCATGGGCCACCGACAGGAAAATCACAGTGGAACAAAGAGGAGAGTTGGTATAGTGCCTGGGATGTCCTTGTAAATATATGTAAAGATAAAAGGAGAGAACTAATCATGTACTATGTAAAATATAGTGAATAAAAATGATAAAAGTAGTTCACTTACACTTTTTGGGAGCTAGTATTCAGCTCCAGCTTGAACACTTGGGCAGAATGATCCTTGCCTAAGAATATAATGCGGTGCAGGATCTCCTTGTAGTAGTAGATTTTCTTGTGGATATGTGGAAGAAAAAATAGATATTATAGTATAGTATGCCAGACCAAAAACAGCAGTAAAACAATATAAAAATGTGCACTCACATATTATGGAGCCTTAAAAGGGGCTCTACAGGTATGGCGTGATCCCCACGCTAGGATATAGGTGATGTTGGTATCCCTCCATATATGTAAGAGAAATAAAACCACAAATGTACATCATAAAAAAGGAGTGAGATAATACAATAATAATAATACTTCTCACTCTGAAATTTTTTTAACCGATCTTAGAGATCTCCGGCTACAGATCAGAAAATTACTATCTGATGATATTGCGTGGCAGATGACGCAGTCCCAGAGATATTTCTACGATTGGGCGAATAGAATTGATGCCCCATTAGCCAAATGTCTGAAGCCACGATTACATATCAAACCAATTGCTACCATTAGAACATCTACTGGCTCTTTGGTCTCCTCCTTAGATGAAATTTATAAAAAGTTCTGGAAATATTTCTCTAAATTATATGATCACACTCCTGATCATCATGATGAGGATTTGGAGAAAGATACAGTGATGGACAATTTTGAGGGGTCTTTGAACCTTTCTAAAATTCCTTCCGATTTGGTGGATTCTTTAGATGCAAAGATTTCATTACAGGAGATTAAAATAGCTATACCTTCACTTTTGCCTTATGTGCAAGAGGTATTTCATCTAGCCCGTCAGACCGGTAACCCTCCCTCAGGCTAGACTTTGGGAAACATTATTTTAATCCCCAAAAAAGATAAATATCCATCTCAAGAATTATAGGTTGATATCTTTAATAAACGCAGATACAAAGATCCTAGCAAAAATTTTAGCAATGCGACTCTCTCCACTTCTCCCCACTCTGATCCATGCAGATCAGGTAGGTTTCATCCCACAGAGAAAACTATTAAAGAGTACTAGGTGAGTTGTAGACCTGGCGTGGTTTGTTGAAACAGAGAAAATACCTTCTGTGCTCCTATCACTGGACGCCAAAAAGGCGTTTGATGGGGTTATGTGGCCCTATCTGTTTCGACTACTCATTTTCTAGGGTTTTCCGGTCTCTTTAATCACTATGATCCAGGCACTATATTCCATTTTAAGGGCACAGATACAACTTCACGGATCACAGGGAGTCCCTTTTGGTATTCTCAATGGCACACTTCAAGGGTGCCCTCCCTCCCCAATTTTATTTCTTCTCTGAATGGAACCTCTTCTCCATTGTATAAGAGTAGGTAGAACTATCCAGGGTGTTAAGATAGGCTTAGATATGTTCAAGGCCGCAGCGTATGTTGACGATGTTTTACTTTCTATTGCTAACCCTGCCCAGTCACTTCCTACTTTATTTCGATTATTTGATCACTTTGAAACACTAAATGGCTACAAAATAAATTATTATAAATCCCGTGCTGTGCCTTTCCATATATCACAAGCTGAGATAGATTTCCGATGATCAAAATTTGAACAGATCTTCGGCTCATCTTTTCAATCTTTGGGTGTTAAGATTGGCTTCTTATACAAATTTGTTCTTGGACAACTATGGGCCTCGCATTAACAGATTAAATAAAGACTTGGAAGGATGGATCGATAAGCCCATTTTGTGGATTGGTAGAATCCATTGTATCAAAAGAAATATTTTGCCGAGAATTTTGATTTTATTTCAGGCTGTGCCTCTCAATATTACTAAGAGTGATTTAGATGGTCTGCAGAAAACTATAGACATATTTTTGTGGCAAAATAAGCCTCATACACTGAACAATTTTATGAACTCAACATTTTTGTTTTTGCCCCCATATTTCATGAGCTGAACTCAAAGATCTAAGACTTTTTCTATGTACAAAAAAGGCCTATTTCTCTCAAATATTGTTCACAAATCTGTCTAAACCTGTGTCAGTGAGCACTTCTCCTTTGCTGAGATAATCCATCCACCTCACAGACATATTTTTGTGGCAAAATAAGCCTCATACACTGAACAATTTTATGAACTCAACATTTTTGTTTTTGCCCCCATATTTCATGAGCTGAACTCAAAGATCTAAGACTTTTTCTATGTACAAAAAAGGCCCATTTCTCTCAAATATTGTTCACAAATCTGTCTAAACCTGTGTCAGTGAGCACTTCTCCTTTGCTGAGATAATCCATCCACCTCACAGGTGTGGCATATCAAGATGCTGATTAGACAGCATGGTTATTGCAAAGGTGTGCCTAAGGCTGGCCACAATAAAAGGCCACTCTAAAATGTGCAGGTTTATCACACAGCACAATTCCACAGATGTTGCAAGTTTTATGGGAGTGTGCAATTAGCATGCTGACTGCAGGAATGTACACCAGAGCTGTTGCCCGTGAATTGAATGTTCATTTCTCTACCATAAGCCCTCTCCAGGCATTTCAGAGAATTTTGCAGTACATCCAACCAGCCTCACAACCGCAGACAGCACAGGACCTCCACATCTAGCATCTTCACCTCCAAGATCGTCTGAGGCTAGCCTACCGGATAGCTGCTGCAACAATCGGTTTGCATAACCGAAGAATTTCTGCACAAACTGTCAGAAACTGTCTCAGGGAAGCTCATCTGCATGCTCGTCGCCCTGACGGGGTCTGGACCTGACTGCAGTTCGTCGTCATAACCAACTTGAGTGGGCAAATGCTCACATTCGATGGCATCTGGCACTTTGGAGAAGTGTTCTCTTCGTGGATGAATCCCAGTTTTCACTGTACAGGGCAGATGGCAGATAGTGTGTATCACGACATGTGGGTGAGCGGTTTTCTGATGTCAATGTTGTGGATTGAGAGGCCCATGGTGGTGGTGGGGTTATGGCATGGGCAGGCGTGTGTTATGGACAATGAATATAGGTGCATTTTAATGATGGCATTTTGAATGCACAGAGATACCATGACGAGATCCTGTGGCCCATTGTTGTGCCATTTATCCACGACCATCACCTCATGTTGCAGCATTATAATGCATGGTCCCATGTTGCAAGGATCTGTACATAATTCCTGGAAGCTGAAAACATCCCAGTTCTTGCATGGCCAGCATACTCACCGGACATGTCACCCGTTGAGCATGTTTACGCCGTATATGCCGATACTTTGGATTTACATATATGACAGTGTGTTTAAGTCCTGTCAATATCCAGCAACTTAGCACAGCCATTGAAGATGAGTGGCCCAACATTCCACAGGTCACAATCAACAACCTGATCAACTCTATGCGAAGGAGATGTGTTGCACTACGTGAGGCAAATGGTGGTCACAGCAGATACTGACTGTTTTTTGGATCCCCCCCCAGCCCCCTTATACAGTAAAACTGCACATTTTAGAGTGGTCTTTTACTGTGGCTAGCCTTAGGCACACCTGTGCAATAATCATGCTGTCTAATCAGCATCTTGATATGCCACACCTGTGAGGTGGATGGATTATCTCGCCAAAGGAGAAGTGCTCACTAACACAGATTTAGACAGATTTGTGAACAATATTTGAGAGAAATTGGCCTTTTGTGTACATAGAAAAAGTCTTAGATCTTTAAATTCCGCTCATGAAAAATGGGGGCAAAAACAAAAGTGTTGCATTAATAATTTTGTTCAGTGTAGATTAGTCAGGAATATTTTATATAGATCCAGTGTTTGCCATCTTTAAAATCCAGAGGAGGCTTAGGCCTTCCACATTTGCTGCTATACTATTACGTTGCACAATTGTTTCAAGTAGTGATGTGGCACTCCAGTCCATTAGATCAACATTGGGTCGAGATTGAATCGTATTTCATGACGTCAGACTCACTATCATGTTAAATGTTGCTTGAAAAACCATCTAGAATATCCCTAGGAACATCGTGCCCCTCAATTTTAAACTCGTTACATATCTGGGATAAATTGAAAACTAAGTATAATCTCGCTAATAATCTGTCTCCTCTTACTTCAGTTTTACGGAATAAGCAGTTCACCCCGGGCATGAGACCGCATAATTTTTCAAATTTTGAAAGAGCAGGTATTCTAAGAGATCAACATCTATGGTCAGGTGGGAAGATGGTCTCTTTTGAAGACTTAAATTCAAAGACACATTTGACTGTTATTATTTTTGATATACTCAGGTTAGACATTTTGCCCAGATTCCGACTATTAGGAGTGCAGTGCAAACTACACCTTTATTATTTTAAAAACTGTTTATTTCAGGGAGATGTAAGAAAGGCCTAATTTCAACTCTATATTTACATTTATGTCAGAAACCATCAGTGTGGGGAGCACTTAGATGTGTGTCACAATGGGCATCAGACTTAGGAGAAGCCCCAGAGATGGTAGTGTGGGCTGATATCTGGGAAACAGGATCTAAAATATCAGTTTGCATGCTTTCACAGGAGCAAATGTTTAAAATTCTGTTTAGATGGCATGTAACTCTTGTTTTCGTGTATAGAATTGGTAGAAACCCATCAGATCTTTGCTGGCGATTATGTGGATTTATTTTATATTTATTTTTGTGGGTGTTGTTTCGTTTGTTTGTTTGATACTTTGACTCTTTTCTATCTTTGAGATTAGGTATTTTTAATCTATACTAGAACATTTTTTGTGAGAAATCCAATTTCTAGACTTATATCTTTTTTTTTCTTCTTCTTTTTTAAGACTCGATAATTAATGCATTTTGCTTATGTCTATAACGTATAATATCTGTCTTTTGACTTGCGTACATAAATAAAGAATTTAAAAACAAAAAAACACCTACCCAGGTTTTTTTTTATTCTCACCAAGGATATAGATGATTCAGCAATCCAGCAGCAATCAATAGGGTCCAATAAAAAAGTACTTTCATTATAATAAAACAAATAAAACAATAAAAGATAAATTAAACTGTTTAAAACAATATTTAGATACACTTAACGCATTTCACCATTATCTGTCTTTATCAAAAGTGTTAACATTTTTTGGTTTTTATTCACTGTATATTTTTTTCTGTATATTCCGACATAACCCACCAGTTAGGGCTGGAAGCTGTGCAATTTTATCTATTTGGTCACCATCTCCTTCTAGAGAGTCAAGTTAAGTATTTGGTACAGTTAATTCATTTTATTCTCATACACAATTATTTAATCTTTAACCATTTGTACTATCTACAAATCAATGGAACAACAATGGGGACCAACGTTGTACCCACTTAAGCCAATCTCTTTATGGGAATTGTGAAGAAAGTTTTACTTAGCTTAACAACCCTTGGAGGGAGAGAGTGGCCTTCTATCGCCGCTTCATTATAGATATCATCATAGTGTGGGACAGAGGTACAGATGACATCAACCTATATCTTACTTACATTAATAATAATAATCTGGGCATGTCTTTCCCTTCCAGTACAAGAAATACAGATACAGATTTATTTGATCTCTCTCTAACAGGGTCCATCCACCGGATTGTTACCAAACCCCATAACAAATTGGTTCATGTCAATGGTTATTTGTCAGTCACTAGTCTTCACCATTCTCAGTGGATACATAATGTCCCACTGGGGAAATTTATTAGAAAAGGAGGAACTGTTCACATCTTTCAGATTTTGATATGGAAGCACATATTTATTGATTGTTTTTTTTTTTTTAATTATTCACGCTCATTGTTGTTGAAATCTTACTCCCAAACCAGAACAATGAATGGGCACTAACTGATATTTAAAAAGGAATTGATGGGGGCGGAGCCTAGCAGTCAAGGAGACTAGATGCACATTGGC